CAGGCTCAGCAGAAGGATTTTGGTCCTTAGTTGCTGGTGTCTGCCATGGGCACCTGAGTCTTGCTATCCCTGCACTGTATGGTGATGTCATCTGAGCTCCATCTGTGTCCAAAAACTGCAACATGCCTATGATCAGGGGTGGAGAGGAAAAGATCAGATGAATCAGTTTTTACCCTGAAACAAGCTGGGATCAGGGATTTAATTGTTAGAAACAAAGGCAGCTCATAGATTATGGCATATGATGATCCATAAAATAATATTATCCTTTTCTCTGGCCACAGACCTTAAAAATGTTTCTGAATTGCTGAAAGAAGGAAAAACAACTGAAATAAAAGAAAATCCCATCTGTTGTATACTCTCCACTAACACCTACAATGTTTTTTCAGCTACTCCTTTAGGTACCTTTAGTTCCCAGCTTTCCCATCTTTTATTAATGTGCCACATTTTGGGACAAATATCACTGCCATTTTTTCATGTCCCTTTATGTTTTAAAGTTATATGTCATATTAAAGGGGGTTAAGTTACTTTTAAAAGGATGTTTTTCCACTCTCATGATACTTCTACCCATAAAAGGCCCTAAATCCCTCAGAAGATCCTAAGTTTTAAGACTCAAATAAATGAATAAAAATTAACCTAAATGAGTCAAATCTTTGGAGGTTCAGTTTTCATTACCCCAAAGTGAGTGCTTCATGGGAACACCTCACAGTGCTCTGTGATGCATAATCGCGTGGGTCAGGGCTCTAGACGCAGATATGAGTAGCCGCCCTCTGCACGGTTGAGGCAGAAGGGGATTGATACTGAACACAGCTGCGGGAGGCTGCAGGGCAGGGGAGGCTAAATTTCCAGGAATGTCAGCCTGGAATTGGCCCACTGCCACTGCCCCCAGGCCCACGCTCTTTCTTAGGACACCTGTATGAGTGAAGGGAGGTCCTGTGCCTGCCCTGTCCCACCACACAGCTCACACCCAAGGCAAGGTCCCGGCTTGGTCCAGCTGACTGGCAGAACCTAGGTCCCACACTGGCACCCCAACTCAAGGCAGATGGGAGATGAGGAATTGTTGTTGTCTGTCTGTTTGTTTTTATCTAGGGAAGGCAGGACCCACAGCCCAGGGGTCTACTACAATGTAGGGAGGCTGTCTAAAGACACTGGGCAGCCACAAATGATAGATTTCTGCTATGATACTGTCTCATGAAAATAGCAGGCAAATTGTCTAAACTGGCCTCTGGTGTTAAAAAATTGTGTAGCAAAAAGATGTGAAGGAAGTACACAAAATTGTTACTGCTGATGATCTCTGTAGTGGATTGTGGACTATGTTTTGTTTTCAAATTTTTCTGTAACAACACTATATTTCCTTGTAAATTAGAAAAATAATGAGAGCTGACCATTTAAGAAAGGATTAGTTAAAATAATTGCAGCCTTTCTAGATAGATGAAAACTCTTACCTTGAAAGTCCTGAGCATATTTAATAATCTGTTAAACAGGTGAATATTGAATTTTTTAAAAAACAAAAAATATTACTGCCTTATTTAAGCTGCAGTTAAAATCTGTTTCCTGTGGATTTGCCCTCAGTGGGTACAGTAGCTGCTGATCAAATTAGAGAGTCACGGCAGCTTAAATCAGGAGGGCCTCAGACATCACTTACCCTAACTGTGTAGCACCCAGCTCGATTTGAAGTTTTAGAAAATACAAACATACACACATTTATGCACACTGATCTGCTTACTATCTGTCTTCCTCAGGAGACCCAAGGGCAGGGGTGACGAATTCTCAGAGCCCACTACACCACTACACACACAGCACTCCTCACTGAGATTCCAGAACTCTTAGGCCCCTTGGTTTACTTGCCCCTTGAAGACTTTCTTTCACTCCTACCCCTTGCTGGACACAAGGAAATGTGAGGTTCCTGCTTTGGAAATATAGCAGGGCTTCTGCTCTGGGGCTCTTCTCCCCATCTGGGAGTTCTGTCCCCCAGGCCGTGTCCTTGAACTATTTTCAAGGGCTCAGCAGTGCCTAATGTTCTTGTCTCCCCTCCATCTGGTCCCGAGGGTCTCTCTCACGTCGGACAGGGAGGACACTCACGCCACTGGTCAGGTGCTCCTTCAGATCTTTTCTCTTTGGCCTTGGTTTCTCCTTTGGAAAATCAAAAGCCAGGGATTTTACTCATATTCTCTGTAGTTTGTGATGTCATCTTTTTCCTGAGGCAGCCTATGCTGCTTGTTCAATTTGAAATAAGTGAAAGACTACAGGGAAATTTGGGGAAAATAACCCTGAACTTCTCAAAGATATCATCTGCCCCATTTGTATGGAAGGTGGGCCAAATTTGAAGGGAATGAAATTAGCTATAGTTATCCCAAATTTCCAGTCACTCTCCAAAGTTTGTCAGTTCACTACTGATTCTAGAAAGAAACATGCCACTTGGGGAAGAGAACAGAAAGTTTGCAAAATGAGTGAGTCTGAAGGGGTGCCTGTTTTGCAGCTGCTAAAAAGTTTCTCCTGAACAGCTGAAGTTCTGATAAAATAAATATCTGTCCTGTTACTTAGGAGAGGGTGACAGGCTGAGTGTCACTGAGCCAGGGGCAAGCTTCCTTGACTTGGTCAGTTTCTGCACTCTGCTTGGCTGATAAGGCTCTCACACTATGTGACACGCAATGAGAGTTTCCTCTATCAGTTCTAGGTAAGGAAGGTGGAATATCTCCGCATCTGCCAGAGGTGAGTATATTAGATATCACCTGTCTTGATAGCCCTACCTTCATCTGCTAAGCTGTGGGCAAATGAGATTTTATGCCTTATCATCAGGCTGCCAGATGAGGCTCAGGTAACTCTATGTAAAATCCCATGCCCTGTTGCACAATAGTTGATGTTTGCAAGAAAAAATAAGTATCTTAAAACTTCCGATAGCATTTGTTCCTTCACAGCAAGAGAATATTGCAAGTTTGAGTGAGGCTTTATAGTGCCGTGCTATATAAATTAACCACTGTGACTTTTACAACTGCACGTTGGCTGGGGCGCAGTAAGTACTGGAAAAGTACCATGAATATGTCATTTGGCTTACGGCTTTATCATTTTTAGAAGTTACAGAAAAACAACCGCGTCTGTCATTTCAAGTTCCTTTATTATACCAAACAGTTTGAGATGCCACTCTTAATAACATGAGGTCATTTTTAACCAAATTCTTGCTAGAACAGTCTCTCTATAGAACACGTTACGAAGCAAGAATTTCTCCAGAATCCACTCCATTATCAAGTAGGGGCCTGGTAGGGCGTTCAAGACCTAACAAAACCAATGTGATGGCCCCTGTCCAGTGTTATTGGGGCTGGTCCTTAGTTACATAAGGGAACAATTTAAAAATGAAATGACATAACTAAAACGTTTATATCAACTTAAAACATATTGTTGTACATTTTCTCTCATTTTTGTTGTGCAGCCAACATCTGATGTCCTCTGATGAGAGGTCGCTTCATCTTTTTTGCATAAACTTACCCATGTTAAGTTGATTAAGTTTTCCAAGTTTACCTTCTTTAAAGTAGAATGAGAATTTAGCAATCTCAGTTCAGAATTCTAGATTTTTACATTTTTAAACCAACGTTTTAGAACTGTCTTATCAATTACTTCTTTAACAGCATTTTTTTTTTTGCAACTTGTCATTATTAAGCTTTGTGGTAAGCATTTGACTTAGTTTTTCTAGCAGAGACAACACTCACTCATCCTTCATCAGTTTGTCATATTTAAGTCACAGATTTACAATACTGGGCACGAGTGGCATAAACAGGTTTGGGAATAGACGCTACGACTTGGGTAAACACCTTAACTGGAAGGTGGTCCAGAGAGCACCTGCTGGCCACCGCGTCCCCAACACAAAGGTGGCCATTGGCATCTGTTAGAAAGGACTGCAGAGCTCTGGTTAATCTAGGATTTGGTTAAAGGGCCTTTAATTAAGAGAGCTCCTACTATAAATACATTTTCATTAATATGCATAGATAGTTACTCTTAAATAACATTACTGCAAAATGTCTTCTAGTACAGGTCCTGCAGAGCTTAATGAACAGCTAAGGCTCACTTATAATCAGTGGAATCTGTCTGCATACATAATTGGTGCTCTAAAGTGCTTCTCCCGGCAATCTGTTTACACTGTGGCACTGTAATTGGTTTGGTCATCAGTCTGTTTCTTTCTGTAGATGGGAAGAGATAATGTTTTCATCCACTCCTCATTAGTTACCACAATTTTTAAGTTAATAATTTGGAGATGTAATGAGCTCTTGTTCCATTTATACATGTTTGAATACCTCTGTCAATGTTTTTAGAGTTTTTTCTTTTCCTAAATACTGGTAGCAATAAAGTATGATATGCCAAGGATAATTTTAAAAAGAAAATAAGTAGATATTGATTCTGCTGATATTAAGTTGATAGATTTGGAAAATTTTAGAGCTGAGAGACAGAGAGAAGCATGTGTATTTATACACACATGCGGAGGCAAAGAGAGAGTCAGAGAGGAAAAGAGAGTCAAAAAGGATAAGACAGATGCAGAGAGACAGATTTTATAATTATATTATATTCACACACACACACACACACACACACACACACATATATGTATATATATATAGAGAGAGAGAGAGACAGAGAGATACCAAGATAGGAATAGTGAGAGAAATAGAAAAGCAGACAGAAACAGGAAAACAGATAAGTAGAGACAGAAAACACACAAAGAGACAGAAAAAGACAGAAACAGAGACACCTAGAGGCTGAGGAAGAGCCGCTTCAGCCATGCCACTCAAGATTAGCCCTGTCTCTGCCCCGTGTGACCAAACTAGGGCCGCAGGTGTGGAGGGCACTGCCAGGACAGAGGCAGACCCAGGGTGCCCAGGAGTCACCAGTGATAGCAGAACTCTGAGTAGGTCACAGCCTGGGCATTAATTAGATGGCCCTGCACCGCTGTTCACATCTATTAAACATGTTTTTGAGTTCTAAATGTATTAAAATTTTTTTTTTTTTGGCTGCAGAAAGGTTCTGAAGGAAATCTCTACTGGAGAACTCAATCCAAATGAGACTCTGCAGGCCACTTTGGAGGTCCAGCTCCTTTCCAAGCTGGACCATCTAGCCATCGTCAAGTTCCATGCAAGCTTTGTGGAGCAAGATGATTTCTGCATTTTCACAGAGTACTGTGAGGTGAGACTCTCCTTCACTTTTTGAAATCTTAATAAAAATATATTTCATAGGGCTTCCCTGGTGGCACAGTGGTTAAGAATCCGCCTGCCAAAGCAGGGGACATGGATTCGAGCCCTGGTCTGGGAAGATCCCACATGCCCCGGAGCAACTAAGCCCCTGCGCCACAACTACTGAGCCCGTGTGCCACAACTACTGAAGCCCGTGTGCCTAGAGCCTGTGCTCCACAACAAGAGAAGCCACTGTAATGAGAAGCCTGCGCACCGCAACCAAGTGTAGCCCCCACTCGCCGCAACTAGAGAAAGCCCGCATGCAGCAATGAAGACCCAATGCAGCCAAAGATAAATAAAATAAATAAATGAAAAAATATATATATATTTCATAGTAAAAAGCTGTCTGTAAAGAGACATCTCAGAAGTTTAACTAGCCAACCACAAGGTGAACTATAAATACCTGGGATGTTGTGTCTTGCTGCTAAGAGTGATCATGTCTATGTAATTGACAAACTTGTTTCTGATGAAGGGTTTCTCTTTCTTGGAAAACTCAGAGTGAATGTATTTTAGGGAGGAATTGATGCAGAAAAACAATCCAGCATATTTATTTTTGGTGTGTGTGTGTGTGGGGGGTGCATTCTCCAAGCCTCCGACAACGGTTCGATTATTAGATGGACATTTAAATGCCGTAACAGAGGCCTGGACAGAGGAGAGGGACACCTCCTGAGTCCTGGGTTCTAGCTCTGTGGTTCATTTTCCCCAATGGAAACTTGGAAATGGGAATATGGCTCATTTTACCCATGAAAATCCTTCATATTAACTGATTTATGATTTATGGCTTCAGGTATTTGCAGTTTTCCCTGCCATTCCATGTTCTCCCCAAGTGATAATAGCGTGCATTTTACTGAGCCCAAGTGAACATGAAGCTGCTGAGAAAGGTGCCAGGTGGAGGGGGCTTGGGGCTGACAAGGTGCAGCATATGTGGGTCTGGGTGGTCACTCCTGAGAGGCTAGGGAGAGGGGAGTTACAGGGGTTGGGTCAGAAAGAGAATACCCAAACATGCCCTTGCTCAGACAGTATCTTCCAGAACATTCTGAGAGCTAGTGTTAGCCAAATGTACCTTGGGAGAACCTGGCTCTATTCATACTTTAGAATGTATTCAGTTCATCACCTGGGTGTTGCTGGGGCCCAAGAGAAATGACGCTGGGAAGAAAGAAGATGCTCTTTAGAGAGGGAGGCAGGCCTGTTTGGGTCAGAGGGTGCTGGGTGTCTGAGGTGCGGAAAAGAAGAGGAAGGAGGAGAAGCAAATCGGAAGGAGTAAAGATAGCAACAGAACCCAGCCTCGCTGTGCTTTATATGGTAGCTGATGTGTCATCCAAAATGAAACCAGTAGCAAAGTTAGAATATCTGAAAATTTGATATCATCCAGGTCTTGGCTGTTCCCCTTCGGGACGGTCTCCCTGGCACAGCCTTGCTGGGAGTTTCCCCATCCAGTCTTGCCCCTCCTCTGCTTGAAGGAGAAGCAGGGGAAGAAAAGAAAAAGAACCAGGACATTTGGGTGTTTACTTCTCCTTTATCCAACAGATTTTTAAGAAAATCAGTGAAATGATGAGGTGCGCAGAGCATGGGTAAGAACAGCTGCTCTGGCAAATATGTCACTGATCTATGCAAAACCCAGGGATTTACAAATATAGCTACACTATGATCCATCAGCTATAATTTAATCATTTTCTTCTTTTTGCCCCATTCAGTTAATAAACTATCTTATGTGGGGAGCAACTGACTCCTATTGCTTATGCCTATTACTGCTACCTCTGCTGCTGCTCTCGGCACACTGAATTTTCCAAAGAGACTCTCACGATCTTAAAATATTTTTCACTATAGTGAGGACTGTCCAGTGGAACTTTGTGTGATGATGGTAATACTCTATATTTGTGCTGTCCAATATGGTAGTTGCTAGTCACATACAGCCCTTTAGCACCTGATGAAATATGGCTAGTATGGTTGAGGAGCTGGATGTTAAACTTTATTTAATTTTAATTACTTTAAATGTAAATAACCATGTGTAGCTGGTGGCTACCATATTGGACAGAGCTAGATGATAAGCTATAACTTTCTCTCCTTATATTAATTTTTAATTATTAATTTTCATGTAATTTTAATCTACTAGAAAAGTTACAGAACACAGTGAACTCCCATATACACTTCACCCAGATTTACCAATTGTTATTTTTTCACATTTGCTTTATTATTCTATCCTTTCTATCTATCTATCTATCTATCTATCTATCTATCTATCACCTATCTATCTATCATCTATCTATCTATTTTTTCCTGAACCACTTGAGAGTAAGTTGCAGACATGATGCCCCTTTGTCCTAAATCCTCCTATGAGTGTTTTCTAAGGCCAAGGACATTTCCTTAACATAACTACAGTACGAAGATCAAAATCAGGAAATTAACATCGATGCAATGCTGGTATGTAATCCAGTGGTTGTCAGTGTGTGATCCCAGACCAGCAGCATCAGCATCATTTGGGATCTTTACTTACAGATACAGATTGTTAGCTTCCACCACAGCCACAGCGAATTAGAAATTCTGGGGGTGGGATCTGGCTATCTGTGTTTTGACAAGCCCACCAGGTGAGGCTGAAGCACACTGCAGTTTGAGAACCACACATCTAATCCACAATTCACACTCAAATTGAGCCCATTTGTCCCAGTTATGTCTTTAGAAAGGACATTTCTATAAGAATGTCTTTTTCTCGCTTAGGATCCAATCCAGGATCATCTGCATTACTTTTTAAATGCTGGCGGTTTCCAAGGGCTGAGCTGCTCCTCCCACCCCGGGGCGTTGCCATGGTGACGGCCGCTGGCCGGGGAGCAGCTGCTGGGCTTCCCTGTTCCACCTGCTGAGCTGTCAGGACGCACTTCCCTGAGGAATGACGTGTGTGGGTCGCTAGTTTTCCTTGCTAACCGAGATATTTCTCATCTTCATGAGCTTAACTCACACAAACCTGGCATTATCCTCTTCTTATTGAGGTAAAATAATAATATTGGAAATGGCAGATGGCCAGACTTGCACCTCACAGAAAAATGTTTTCACCATTGAAATAGCTGGGTTTTTTGATCCCCAAGTTTCCTCTTCTGTAATTTAATTTGGAGCCTTGCAAGATTGAAATACACACATATAAATGCCTTCACGAGGCTGCTATGTCCACCACCCAACCCTTTGGACACATCACATCAGATTATGAGTGTAAAAAGCAAATTACCCCATTCTCACAACTTCTTGTCAAGATCTAACCAAATCTTTGATGGGGAATAGTACCCAAACTACCAAAGTGACAGAATGTTTCAGGTATTGGTGCCTTCCATTCTCCTCCAGCCAGGGAAATGGGGCAACTTGCTGTCCCCTGTCCCTCCTCCACAGTTTCCCACCTCTTCATCTGTGCCCTTTCAGAATGTCCTTCCTCCTGGCCCCATGTTTTCAGTTCCCACCCATCCTCCCAGGCCCGCTGAAATGTCACCCACTCTACAAAGATTCCTATAATCTCCTGGCTGGAAATCACTCCTCACCCGATCCCCGACTCTCATCGCATTTCAGCTTGGTGACACACAGCACATTATACATAGTATCATCCGTCTCAGATCAGACTCTCAGCGTGTGGGATTGATCTTTTTCTGATTCATTTTTGTATCGCATCATGAACCCATGTAATGAGCCACAAAAAATTAGTACTCAGGAAATTTCTTTCCTTTTGACGAATTCTTTACCACTTGCTTCCAGCTGCCTCTCACCTTATTTCTGTCAAAAGCCGGTGGTAAAATTTTGGATCCTTCTATCTGTCATATATGTTGAAAGCACTTTGTCAGAAAGCAGGGAAGGTTGGACTTGTCTGTTTCCTGCACTGTGATATTAACATAGCTAAATAAAAATTGTATCAATATAGTTGTAGTGCTTAACCTTGGCTGCACACCGGAATCACCTGAAAAGCTTTCAGAACTAATAAGGGCTGAGGCCCTCCTTCAGAAAGTCTGATTTAATTGGCCTGGGGAATGACCCAGGCATCAGGATTTTTGAAAGCTCTCCAGGTGATTCTAATGGGCAGCCAGGGAGGAGAACTGCAAAAAAAGGGGGAATGACCAGTGTGGAAACAGGAAAATACAGTCATAGAAGAAAACCATGTCAGTGTTTATGGAGCACTGAGCAAAGATGAGGCTCAGCTGAGGACAGGGGAGTCTGGCTGGCTCTGCTGGTGGGTGTGGTTTTCTGCTCAGGCCACCAGCTGGGTGCTGTTATTCATGAAAATTACCTGCCTTGTTCTCCCGGCTCCCTGAGCAACCTTCTATCCTGTTTCTCCTCAAACTTTCATGCCCTGATTTTAGCATTTTTTCAGTGGTAGTTGCCTTGAGCAGTTTTTACTGTGATATTTGCCTAATGGTGATTATGTATTTCCCTCATTCTTTCTACATTTATTAATTAGGGCTGTCCTGTTAGAAAGAGCTATTCCACTGTTCCTTCTCCTCCATTGATGTCTTTATTCAATTATTTATATCAGTATGGACTCAGGGATATTTATTTTATTCTATGGGTTATAGCCCAATGCTGTCATTATTAATTTTCTTTCTCAAATTGGTCCAGCTTCGGCTAGTGGGGCTCCTTCAGATTGGCTCCTGTGTCCTCTAAACATGCCCCCATCCTTTTTGAAGAAGTGGATTCTTATCTATAAACTATATTTTGTAGATGAGGAAATGGGAACCCAGGGAGGAGATTTTCTGGCAATCACATGGCTGGAATGTTGGATTTCATCCAGGACCAGGACCAGGATCACAGGGGTATAGGGAAAGCTGCTCCTGTTTTTCTTTTACTTGGATTGCTCCTATTCCTCCCTTAATATTTAACAGAGTCAGGGCTTCCCTGGTGGCGCAGTGGTTCAGAGTCCGCCTACCGATGCAGGGGATACGGGTTCGTGCCCCGGTCCAGGAAGATCCCACATGCCGCGGAGCGGCTGGGCCCGTGAGCCATG